GACCTACATGTCGATCTAGAATTGCCCACCATCGCGCAATTCCTGAAGTCGGCGTCGCGCCGATATTTCGATTCCGCCGCCGCGCATCCCAACCCACTTATCGTAGGTGCCGTCACCTACAGGCCCTTGCCGCTAAATATTTTCCGCCGCGATTACCGAAGACCGTGTCACGTTCTCGACTTCCCTGACGATGAGACGACTATCGCCATCGAAAGGATCAAAAAACTCAAGAAACACACCAACACACACCGCACTCGCCGGCGAGTGCGGCAAACATATACTAGGTTCCGCCACGTACCTGGCAGGTTTTCCCCTATTAATGATAGAAGCGTTGCTGGAGTTTCTTCTGCCACTTCTTCTCCCAGCGCCAACACTCTCCGAAGTGGTAGTAATGTTAGCTCTAGTAATTCCCCCAGTCAGATAATAGCTACCGATCGAGCCGAGATCCGGCCCTCTCGGGCACCCTCGATTCGGAATGCTAAACGCGTGCTGAGTGACAGTCCAAGCCGAGGTCCCCTCTCGGGGACCCTTGAGCCTGATCACTCCATGGAGCGCCCGCCAAAGCGCCCTAAGAGCTTGGCGGCCTCCCAAACCGGTGATAATAATAGCGTGACGGCCCGAGCCGAGGCTCCCCCGGGAACCCTCGAGCTTAGTCACCATAACGCGTAATAATAGTACGCAGAGGTTCAGGCTAGGCGCCTCGTGCGCCAGGCCACCTCAAGTCCGTCGGATCTGTAAAGGCCCCTAAGGCCAACAGTGGCTCATCCAGCCCAAAAAAAAAAAGACTACTGTTGATGGTCACTCTACTCCATCCTAATCGTAAATAATAGAAACGATCATATAAAAGAAACGTTCACACAGTAAAGCAGATATTTCTCAAATCGGAATCTAAAGAAGAAATGTTTTCCGCGGCAAAGATAATCTTATTTACCGGGTGAGCTCACACGGAATGATTTACTGGTCATTCGTCCGCTACTTGCTCTCTAGCTACGAAGAACACAAATAAAAAGGCTGAGTCTTTTCCTGTTCCTTATTGAACCATTTTTTTTAGTTTGATAATAATTTAATCGTAGAAAATAGTACATTTGCAATTACATTAAATTAAAAAGGTAAACCTTTTTAAAGTAAAAAGTAAAGTATCAGGTACATGTCCCACTGCTGGGCAAAGGCCTCCTTTGTCCAGAGGGTATCAAGGCATAGTCCACCTCGCGGCCCCAATAAGGATTGGCGGACTTCACATATCTTCGAAATATTTTTTATTATTATTTTGAAAATATGCAGGTTTCCTCACGATGTTTTCCTTACCGCGGACCACGTGATAAGTCAGCACTTAAAGGTAAAAACTTCATTGGTGCCGGCACCGCGGATCAAACTCAGGTTGCTCGAGTATATTAAATTAAAGGCGAGCGCCCGGACACTGAGCTATCACGGCTCCAGTGAAAACTGCATCAAAATCCGATAAGTAGTTTTCAAGTTTTTCGCGAACTGTCTGTCTGTCAGACGGACAGACAGAAAAATCTAAAAATGCTTTTTATGACACCCTATTTCATTTTTTCATAAATATAGTTACAGACACGCTGATTCTACTCTTTTATTATATTATAGATAGAAGTTATAGAGAAGGGGTGCAGAATGCTAATAATTTTTTTAATTATGCAAAAAAAAAAACTTACTGTAAGCAAGCTTACTGTATTCGGTATATGTAATCGGCTTTATACAGTAATGTGGCGGCGCCAAACTACAACCTCTTACCTATATCCATGCTCGATATCTTTTAATTATATAAATATTGGTTCGTGAACACCTGTTAAAGACAAATTCGACCTAAGATATGGACTGTAGTTAAAAGTAGAAGCTAATTGTTATTTATTTTTACAAGTATACATCTTTATATATATTTTAATATTTGAATATATATATATATATATATATACATATGTATATATACATATGCATGTATATAACTTAATATATGATTTGTATCCAATTATAATATTATTTTCATATATATTCTCTTTAATTAAAATTTTATTTTTCTTGCATCTTTTGCTGCAC